CACACACACACACACACACACACACACACACACACACACACACACACACAAACTGTAACCATAATACTACTTGCCTACTTAAACCTAACCTTATCCAAACCTTATCTTACACCTAAACTTAAACCTTATTCAAACCTTATCTTAAATCTGATCTCATTCAAGCCCAACTTAAACTTAACCATATCATAATCATAACCTAAACCTAACCTTATCCTATGCTTATGTTAAATCTAACGTTATCTGATATTATGTAAATGTATCCTTATTTGGTAGAGGGACACAGGTAGCAGTTGGCTGGTAAACACAGAGGACCATTTAAATGGTAAATGGACGGCATTTATACAGAGTTAATGAATCCTCAAAGTACTTTTCCCACTACGAGCCACATTCACCTATTCATTCATACCAAGCTTGTTCTATACATAGCACTTCACTAACACACACAGTGATGGTACATCATCAGGGGTGATTTAGGGTCCATGTGTTACTAAACTGATATATTACTCAGGAGGTTTGTGGAGACTTAAACCGTGTAATGGACAGTGTGCCAATAACATGAACACTCATGAATGCTGGTGCATGTCTGCTGAATGTTTACACATAGAGATGAAAATACTGTAGTATTTTATAACACTTTTTTTCTGCTGCACCACGGAGGTGCAAAAATAAATATTTTTAAAAATAAATCTTTTGATACAACTTTAAAGATGTGGGAAAATTGTGACCTAAATTCCAACAGTGCATGTGATCGGCTTTAAAAGGATTATACCCTTATTTGTTCATTGTCATGTTTGATAATTATTATAATCTGATTACAATTACACAGTCAACAAAAGGTTTTGTTAACACGACACAGCCATGCACCCCCTTCTATAATCTGAAAACATATAACAAACCAGATGGCTGGAACACATACCTCTAACAATCCCCTAAAATTAAATCAAACTACACCAAATTTCACACATTCATAAATATCAGTTTTCTAAATCTGCCTGAATTTTTGAAATCGAGATCCATGAACTGCTCCTTGGGAAAATGGTAAAAATGTTGGAAACAATCTTGCAATGTAAAAAAGGTGAACAAAAATTCCTGAATCAGCCCAACAAACTGGATCTGAGCCAACATGTAATGGGTTCTTCCCTGACACAAACCACATCCAACAAGTTTCATTAAAATCCATTCAGTTGTTTATGTGTAATTTGCACACAAATAAACAACAAAACAGGACTGCCAATGTAGCCTACTGGTCAGATAGCAACATATAACCTGAAAACATATAGCAAACAACATAACCTATAAATATTTAACCAACAATAATTTAAAAATTCTAACAAATAATATATAATCGCAAAAATTATGTAAGGTAATCCTGTTGTATTGCATTGATTAACTGTTAGCTAAATGCAAGTTTACTTTATAAGTTTGTTTTCCTGTTGATTATCTTTTCTATCGTAACGTTTCCTTTATTCATTTCAATTCATGACCTTGAATTAATAAATGGATGTCAAACTAGTGCGGACACTTTTTTTCCACTTCCTTTTCATTACTGAGTCACTGACCAGTTACTTATTCATCTGCATGTCTAAAGCCAAGTATGCATGTGTATGCTGCTCCAAATATATCCTCCTTATCCTCCTATTCATGTGTAAGAACACACACTTCCTTTCTCTCTCTCTCACACATACACATACAAACAAACAACATACCAGGTTCCTTCACAATCCTGTTATTCAGAGCAAAACCTCTTCAGTTGAACTCATAGCCTTAACTTAAGTGGGGAGGGTGTAAGAAAGGTTTGTTTGTGTGTGTGTGTGTGTGTGTGTGTGAGAGAGAGAGAGAGAGGGAGAGAGAGAGAGACCCTGCTGCTAAGAGCTGTCATGAGTGTGAATCAGTTTGCATTACGGATGGTGATAGAGAAACTGAGGCTGGAAAAATAAATGAGGAAAAAGTGAAAAAGGTAAGAGAGGTTGTTTTCAAAGTTTTATTTACAGCCTCTAACCCCTCGTCTTGTGTAAGCAGGTCAAAGTGCAGGGGTGTGGACCCACAGCCAGAGTTTTTCTGTTTGTGACCGTCTCACCAGGGAGCAACTGATGTCATTTCTTCTTCATCTATAGAAGCAGGATTTTTTTGTAAAATAATTTCTATTCTTATTCAGATGCTGCCCCTGTGTCACTCTTGGACTCTGATGAATACTCATGCCAGTATTTAGACTCAGAGTTTGAAGATTCTGACATTGAGTTGGATATTGAGAGCCTTCAGTCGACAGCAGCATCCCCAACACTGACGCACACCCATCAACCAGGCAGTCTGCGGTACAGCCACACTGGGGTAAGTGATACATGACAAACCACTGTAGAGGAAATGCTGTTTATGTCGAGATATCAAGGCTGCTGTCATTCTTTTTCTGAGTTTTGAGAGAAATAATGTGTTTTTTATTTTCATTGACTTTGTCCTTGCTGGTCAAATCCACGATTTAATCCACTTTAATTTGAATACTGAACACAATAACTGCTTGTGATTCTTTTTCCTTGTAAAATACACCCACAGACCAAGCTGCACTCAATCCTCCACAGAACCTGACAAACGTGTGTGTTTTATTGAAGCGTGTGTGTGTTTGAGAGGGGCTGTGGCCACAGTTAACAAACACACGGGTAAACTGGCAGTGGAAGCAGTAATTGGCTGTATAGGTAAATGAGTGTGTGTGTGTGTGTGTGTGTGTGTGTGGAGGAGGGGTGCTGTGTGTGGTTGACACTTAACTGATAGAAGGAAGAAACGAGCAGTGCAGCTGGTTAGCGGGGAGGAAGAGCAGGTGGTTTACAGGGAAAAGCCACAATACAGATCTCAGAGTCACACTGACACACCCATCTGTAGTGTTCGTCTATGCACAGTAGTAAAACTACTAAACACGAACTTTATGCCAAAGGTTTACATAGAGTAAATTACTGCTGCACTCAGTACAGCGTTTACCTTTTGCAAGGCCCAAAAGTCTGTTGAAATTAAAACAAGCCTCATAGCTTAGGCAAATACACTTTGGCGATAGCTACAGGTTTCTTGTGTGTTACTGTACAGTGGCTGAGGAGGACACAATGAAAATGAAAAAAGAAAAACACCCTATCTTGTAATGTTACTGCATGTATCCGAACCCTGATCTAGATCCGCAACAGAATTTGATGGATTCTTCCGCTGACGCTTACCATATCCTTTCACAAGGTTTGTGTTCTTGTGAAATGTTTTTACAAACAAACAAACCAGCCAACCAGCAGACATGGGTGAAAACATAACCTCCTTGGCAGAGGTAATAATTAAAATGGAGTAACTGAATCAGTTAAATATATGGCGTAGTGGTTTGGGCTGTTGCAATATCTTTCTGAGTAAGAGGAAATTAAAATATTCAACACAACATGGAATTCTTTATAAGAGAGCAAAAGCTTCAGGATGAAATTTCTAGTGGACCCTGAGTCGTCAATCTGCATCAGAACTCCTGCAGTACTTCTACCAGCTTCAGTGTTTTAAGACTGAGACACGTATAATTAACAAATTGCCCACTTTTGTTCTTTGCAGGAAGTGCTGGAGTCTCCAGGGTGCCCTCCTTCTGACAATCACAAAGAGCTCAGCCAAGGTAAGAACTCGTCCACTGACTCCTGGGGTTTTAGTGGTTTTTCCAGCGTCAACTATTAATATAAGGAACTGGATTGTTTTTTTTAGAGCAGGTTGATTGTGTTGTTCTTTAATATAAGAGGATGGAAGAGGTTAGGAGAAAGTGATGGGGGTGTCTTAGATCTCAGTTTACTACTATAAAAAGATAAAGTCGCGGTTGTTGTCTCTTGGTGGTCACTTCGAACAGGCCATCAGATCAAATGGTGGGCAGTGAGGGAGGCGTGACAGGATGGGAGGGGTCTCACACACAATACGACCTCTCAGCTGAGCTCGGCTGTCGTTTACCTCAGCCACACGAGCATGGCTTAGACACAGAGAGGAGACAACATCCGCTAACAGAGACTGAGAGTGGAGGATAGACATGTAGTGACCACACAGACAGAATGAAGGTGTCAGACAGGAATTCTTTCAATAAGTCTTGGGCTTGAAACGTAAGCTGAGGGGACCACGGGGCTAAGAAACAGGTAATGTCATAGTTTTCTCTATGATGATCATGGATTAGTTGTACGTAAAGACTATTTTTGTTCAGTCAATTCTATGAGGTGCTGCTGTACTTGAAAGATTGGATGTAAATTTGCTGTCATGCGTGTGGTTATCTAGAAAAACCTCATGGAGGCAGCCTGACACAGATGACACATGAATGAACATTTACTGTACGAACCTTCAGCCTATGAAACTACCGCAGAAGTTTTGAAAGTGGTTCCTCACAGGACAGATGCATGGTATATATACGTAACAGAGTTTGATATTAGAGATAATGGACTGTGTTGGTCTGTTTTTGTCTTGAGCAGATAAGGGGATCCCCCTCTATTTCCAAAACACCATGGAAACGCTGAGAGACAGGCAAGCCTACCAGGACGCAGGGAAAGGAGGCAGGTGGGTCAGATGAAATCTCTATCTCACACACACACACACACTCTTTTTGAATGCATATAAGCTGTAAAGAAACACCAAGTTACATGCTAATGATACTGAGCTGATTGGATCAACAGTGCTAACACATCAACATCTGTTCATACGTAACCACAAACAAACACAAACATTTTATGCGCGTACGGTTAACACCCCCCTCACCTCCCACACACACTTGCAGTCTCTTGTATACATAATACACTCTTCCCAATATATAGTCAACAACTGCCACCAACAGTAGGACAGTGTCCTCTCCGGTTACACTCTCAGACCTGTACGCAGGCACCTGTCACCATGTCCAGAGGACAACCTGTTCTACCCAAACAGGTTAGGGGAGGGGGGCTTTTGTGAATCAGTCCATTGTCTGGAATGAGGAGATCTCATCACTGAAACAGGTCCAAGCTCTCAAGGAAGAATAAAAGTCTTTGAGCTGGTCTCTTATTTCATAGCAACAACCTTCAGTGATAAAGAGAGAAGGGGATTTTTGCATTTGGTTCAGTTCAGTTTAAGAAAACAAACCACAGTGGCATTTTTTGAATGATATTATAAATTAGACTTTCTAAGTTGATTCCCTTCACACAAACCTATCTGTGTCTCCATGAAAGGAGTATTAATTTAACAATTCTGTGTTTTTCTTTCTTCTCCTCAGCAGAGGAGGTTTGTCTCTGCCGAGTCTGAATAACAACAGCAGACGCTGGAGCCAGGTAGATCCTGCTCCCTCATGTGGTTTGCTGAGTACCAGGACCTCCTGCGTCCCAGTACCCCCTACACCCAGGTACATACCGTAGGTAGACTTACTATTCTGGCATTTATTAAAGAAGACCAATCAATAGCAGATAGTCAGGTCATTACTGTGTTTATCAGAATCACATAACAGGAGAGTAGAACAGTGCAAAATACTGCTAGACTCATGTGACACAGAAAAACATGAATCTGCCTTTTCTTTGTTTGTTGATCTAAGCTTCTCAGTGACATTTCAGCACTCCTTAATTCTTTATCAAATAAATTGACAACACATGATAAACCACATTCTGTGCACCACAGTAAGAATTTCAGGTTCCAAGGTTAATGGTTTGGTTAAACTTTAACTCTCTGTGCAAACTTTTTCGTCAGTGTAGCTCTCAGCATGCACTCCTTCTATTCCCTAAGTATTGAGCTGGGAGTGAAAATAACTATCCAAAGCATTGCTATACAACTGTTTAAAACCGCTCTATCATCTGCATTTACTGCTGTGTTGAAGTGAAATTGATATTTCACTTTTCTGTGTTCAGAAATCAAAGTACATCTGATACTTTTCCCTCACAGGCAGAGGACAAGGAGTGTGGTTGCTGCATGCCCATCCTCCCCCGGCCTGCTGTCTGTGGCTGAGTCCAGCCAGCTCAGCCAGTCAGCCCCATGCATCATGGAACCACTACTGTGTTTGAACACTATGATGCAGGCCAGGGCACATATCCAGACACGTATGTATATTTATACACATCGAGTGTTTAAACCTCCTAATATGATCATTATAGTTATCATGGATTTCACTCATTTTATTAAGAATTACAAAGCAGTATTACTCCTGGAGCACTGGATCAGAGGACGAGTTACATGTTTCTGCCATCTTACATGTATATAGTATCAGTGAATAAAACCTTTTTGGTATGACAACTGAATGGTAAAATAATGAATTTAAAATCACACAAGCCAAAGCTTTTGATGATGATACTCAAGTGTTTGCTTAAGTTGTTTAAATTTAATTTCAGGACTTGGTTCTCAAGATACTGTTCATGAGCAAAAGGTGAGTTTAACTATAAAGAGACCTTTATATATGCTTCAAGCATTTGTTTGCCATATTTGATATACACTAATTTGTCTACCTTGCAATTCCATTATCATCAGTTTACTTATTTCTTACAGGGTCCCTTTCCAGCTCTGAACCCTCGAACACCTAAGCTGTTGGCACCGCTGAACAGCAGACCCAGGGAAGGTGCAGCTCTGCCAGTACTGAAGCACCGTGTTCCCCTGAAGCCCATCAGCCGGAGCCCCCTTTGCTCCAGGGCCTGGCTGAGGAGAGAGAGGCTGTTCCGGGGCAGCCCACGCGCTGGCACTCTGACTACTGCTAAGGGTGGCAGTGAGGAGAGCGGGTCCAGCAGCAGCCAGAGTTCAATTGATCTGGAGGATGACGAGAGGGATATTCAGGAGAGATCTTCAGAGGAGAGCAATCTGAAGTTTGATGATGACAGGCTGTTGCAGCTTTCGAAGGATGCAATCTCCACTCAGGCTGATTTGGTTGAGGAGACTAGGCAGCATTTTAAAGTTCAGTCAAGAATCAGTCAGATTCCACTGATCCACAGCTCAGCACAAAGCATGGTTGGGGACCCTATCCATTGTGAAGGAGATCTCAGCACTGAAAGAACAACAAACTGTCATCGTGAAGGGAAAGCCCAAAATATGAATTATACAAAGGAGCATGTTTACAATCATAGCTTTACAAAATCTGACTATGCAAAACAAAGTGACACTTTGAACCATATTGAAGACACTGTGAACAATAAAATGCCAATCACATCAAAGTCTAAAGTCAAGAACCATGGAGGCTGCACTACACACCCTGAGAGTGACATTACCCATGAAACTATATGTGATATGAATGATGACCACGGTGATGCTGTTGCATGCTCTGGGGGGATTTACAGAAATGAGCTCCAGCATGTACAAAAGAGAGAAGTGACAATGAAGGATTCCTCTGATGAAGAAACCCAGGTTCATCAAAAACTTTGTCGTGCTGAGCCCACAGAGTTGAATATCAACACTGCTGTGGGGGAAATTCAGCTCTTTACAGCAGGAGTAAACCGTCCACTGTCAAATGTGGATTCAAAGACAGATAAGAAGGAGGCAACAACCAGCATGACCCATGAACAAAGAGCGAATAATCAAACTAACCAGTCCTTCAATCTTCGAGCACATAAAGAACGAAGTATTATTAGTCGGAACAAGTCCAAAACAAATCTGAAGTGCCCCTCACTTTCCACACAAGTCAAGGATAAAACCAGGAAAAGTCCTGAGCTAATAATAAGTGGAGAGGCCACAGTCAAAATAAAGTCAAAGCTAATTCCTGTAAAAGGTGCTTATCGTAGCACTGACACCCCATCGCCACGAAAGAAGGTTATTCATTTTCCACAGAGCAGAAGAGCAAATCTGGACAAGTCAAACAACAGCAGAGCTCAACCACCAGGGAGAGAGCTGAAGAGCGCAAGACAGCTGAAGAGACTCAGTGTAGCAGGGACAACAAGGTCTAAATCTGCAGTGGACTTTATCACCTACAAAGACATGTTTCAGCAGATACAGAGCAGGGATGGAGGGCCAGCCATGTATGAGATGTTTGCTGGTCCTATCTACGAGAACCTGAGGGTTTCCAGCTCCTGTGAAAAAACAAAGGACAGACAAGTGCAGTCTGCGTCATCTAGGAAGGTCCAACAGTCCCAGAAAGTCAAACAGAGACCCTTGACACAACCTCAATGCAAATTGAGGAGAAGCCCTGGAGAAACTATGGTGATTTCAACAAAGAGCAAACCAAGACTCGTGTCCTCCAGGGTGAAACCTCACCTCACATCTCCATCAAGGAAAGACAATACAACTAAACTAGACACAAAGTTAGTTCTTTCTAAGCATGGTGAGATTTATCACAATAGTGCTCAAGAAAAGGCTCATATCTTATCTACCATTGGGGAGGCTCTTTCAAGATATGACACTGAAACATTAAAACCTGATGACAAAACCCTGACTATGGCAACAACTTCATCTAATGCTAAAGACAGCCATACGTCCATGTCGCAAGAAACGACTGGGACTTCATCAACAAGAAACCAAAGCCGACCTGTTCCCGTGTCTGTGTCACCTCAAAGCTCCCAGCAGCCAAAGATCAACACATGGACATCTTCTAGCAGCAGCAGCAGCAACACTATTATGTCCCCAGTTTACCAGAAGTTTCTCAATGAAGTTGGGGATGGCCCGCTCACTGATGACCTGCTGCAATGTCTGGCTGAAGAGCTAATCTCACTGGATGAGAGGGATGTCTCCATAGCCTCATGTTCAGAAAACCTTGAATCCAATAAAGAAGAGTCCATCAGAGAAGATCTTGCAACGGGAAGAAACATGTTATCCGAGGTAAACATTTTTTGTTTTTTTATTTTCATAAAAAAGAAAGCAAAATCATTTGGGGTGAAAGATAATCTGACTTTTAGCATGGCAAACACTGATGAATCCTAGATCTTTTCTATGGGCCCACCTGCGAGTGTCACCCATGCAGTCACTCATTGTGCCAATAATATAATACCAATCATAGAGTCCCATACAAAAATCCAACAAAGCCAAGCTTTTGTTTTTTTTGCATTGCATTTTTATGACTGCTTTTAGTTGATTATTCACTTCACTTTGTTGTTTTGCCTACCTTTGTGCATTAAAGGTTATTTCACCAGACAATGCAGCGTTGCTTGGCTCTGGGGGGGCTGTTGACTCCATCACATGGACAAAGGGTGAAGTGCTTGGCCGAGGAGCCTATGGAACAGTATGTATGCTTTGTCTGTTTCTTTAGCAGGGTTTCATAAAAAATCCTGAACCACTTTCTGAATTGTTCGCCAACTTATCCAATGTGAGGTAATGTGTCACTTTCAAGGTCTTCTGAGAGACATTTCTGAAGCTTAATAAGGCTTAATAAACTGACTAACCTCCTTTATTGCTTTAAGGGTTATCATTTCATACAATACAGCAGCAGACCTAGATGTTTGAGTAACTCCAGCTAATTCCGCTGCCTTCTCACCAGGTGTTCTGTGGCCTGACCAGCCAGGGCAAGCTGATAGCAGTGAAACAGGTCAGTCTGGACACCTCTGACCCTGAAGTGGCAAAGAGGGAGTACAGTCGTCTGCAGGGTGAAGTGGATCTGCTTAAGGCCCTCAGCCACATCAACATCGTGGGCTTCCTGGGAACCCGTCTTTATGAGCACATAGTTTCTATCTTCATGGAGTATATTCCAGGAGGATCCATCTCTAGCATCCTTCACAGGTAAGGTTGAATCAATATACCACTTACTTACCTTAAAGTAAGTGTCAAAACAACAAACTTTAGGAATGGTTCATTTATGTCAAATAATATTCACTGATGCCTTCAATACACATCGTCTCTGTTACTGCTCTAAGGTTTGGTCCTCTGCCCGAGCGAGTCTTATCTCTCTACGCCCATCAGATCCTGGACGGAGTGGCCTACCTTCACCAGAACAGGGTGATTCATCGTGACTTAAAAGGAAACAATGTAATGCTGATGCCCACTGGTGTCATCAAGCTCATAGACTTTGGGTGTGCACGACGTCTCAGCTGCCTGAACCACACTGCAAGTAATAGTGGGGACCTGCTAAAGTCTGTCCATGGCACACCTTACTGGATGGCACCAGAGGTAGATACGCAGCTCTATTATGTGGTCTTCTTGTCACCGAGGATGCACTAATTGATGTGATGACATTCGACCTTTTTAAGTGGTTTGTTGCATTTAAATGTAAGGATTTAATTATTTTGACATTCGTGATCTCCACACAGGTTATCAATGATACGGGATATGGAAGGAAGTCAGATATATGGAGTGTCGGTTGCACAGTGTTTGAAATGGCCACAGGGAAACCACCACTGGCACACATGGACAAGATGGCTGCCTTGTTCTACATTGGAGCTGAAAGGGGGCTGATGCCGTCCTTACCGGATGGGTTCTCGGATAATGCCAAGGATTTTGTAAAAATCAGCTTGACAAGGTGAAACCATTAGTCCTCTGTTGTTGAATATACTTCAATACTATACTCAATACTGACAAATTTAGATGAAAAATGGAAATATTTAGAGTGCTAAATGTGATTGTGATTGAATTTTGGGGAAAAGATTTCAGTGCATAACTTTCTACATAGAGATATGACTTCCCTAATTTTCCCTTGTTTTCTCTCAACTCTAGTGACCAGAGACTACGGCCATCTGCAGACGAGCTCCTGACACATCCATTCATCCCAAAAAATGAGACTGGAGTGAAGTGCTGTGGTCACCCACAGGGACACTGTGGTTAACATGGAGTTACACTAAAACAAAACATAGCTCAGTGGGAAGTTTTTTTGTGATCCTTGAAGGGCCACCTATCCCTACTGATGCGGCATGCATGACATTTACTCATAGATTTGGGGTTTTCTTAAGCAATCTTATGAATGTGCCAATCTAATGAATACCATCATTTTACATTATATACATTTAACTCAAGTCTCTGTTTTGCATATTTAGGTTCTTGTAGAATCTAATCATTGCTGAAGGATTTGTTAAATTACAAACCAATTTCCATAAAATTAATTTCACAGTGTTGTGAATGTTTAGTAGCACTTCTGTTAAGTTTACTCTGAGTATTATAATATGCGAGTAATAATTGTGCTTGTGTGGCGAGAACTTTTCATTACCATAAGTTACTGTACATGCATCAGCCCTCATATTGAAATTCACAAATAAGACAGTTTCTTTACAGTCTAGCAACAGATATATACAATGTGTAATAAAATGACAGCAACAACAAGAATTTATACTGTAGGGATAACAGCAACTTTAAAGTTTATTTGTAATACTGAATTGAAATGAAAAAAAGATGTTAAGAGTGGCATATGCGCATTTGTCCACAACTGTTGTTGTTCTGTGTGTCCAACCGTAAAATCCCTAAAGAAGGTAGAAAACAATCCAGCCATAGCCTTGTTAGTCTTTACGTGCGCTCTAAAAGTAAATGAGTAACCCAGTCAGAAACAGAGGAGACTGGATCATGTCAAAATTTAGAGTAGAGCTCAAGGTAAAAAACTGATGTAAAGACATGTCCGGAAAGATACGTGGCTATAATATATTCAACCAACTAGATGAGGATGTCAGCGACACAAAACATGTCCATATTGCAGATACTTGGATCTAAGCTTTCTTGCATATGGCCAATTAGTCAGCATTCAGGAATGGAAAGAACCAAGTTTTGTTTTTTCCCCTCCTAAAAAGTACAATTAATGGCTGATTGAATGATACAAGTATCCCTTATATGCAATCACATCTAAGGGCTACAGCCTCATGTCATGGAATTATGTCAGATGCACTTCAAAATAAAAAGGGTTATGTAAACTATAATAACAAACTACTTGTCCTCAGTTTTTTTTTCTTTTAGAGGCAAAACCTTTGGCATCTAGCATAAGGTCTACTTAAGGGTCGAAAAAATAAATTTTGGTACAAATACCATCACGCTGATGTGATTAGTAGGTGTTGAATGTGCATGTGTTGCTGAGGGCAACTAGTATTTCCTGTGATGTAACAGCACAGTGCCCTCTGTAGGAAGGTTGTGAGAAGTACACACCACTGGAATTCTGCAAACATCCATCCGATGATGCCTTAACGGTAGATCAACAAAATAAGTCTTTATAGGTACTATAGTTATTTTGACATACTTACAAGCAGCTCCAAACCTGAGTAGTCATGGTATAGCTTTTCTTTTTCTTCAAACATACACAAATGTATGTACATTTATCTCCACTTCCTGTAAACAGCAAATAAGTGCTCTCCTTTTGAATCCCTTGATGATTGAAACATGCAAATCATATGCACAGTCCTTAAGTATAAAAAGAAATCAAGACGAGAAACTAATTGAGGAGATTAACTTTACATCTAAAAAAGCATCCATCAACAGCACTAAATGGAATGCCAGGAAACATAAGTTGAAATCATCTCCCATTGGCCACTGGCTTCCTCCATTCAACCGCAAAATTGTGATTCAATTAAATGACTTAGAGTACTTGCAATACTTTTGTTTCTCCATATGAAGATTTGAAATGTACAGAGGGAGTTTCCTCCTGATGGAAACACACTCAACCTCTCCCCACCACTAACACCCACACATTGCACATTCCTAGACCCACTTAAAGAGAAAAAGAACCAAGCAGCAATTCCGCACACTAACAGAAAAACAGGACCGAGCATCATAGCCCAGAAATGTGACAGTCAGGAAGCATTTTTTCTTTGTCATCTGTCAGGAATTTAAAATTTGAACAATACTTTTCACGGAGATACGATTTTTCTGCCTTTCAATAAAGGGCTCATCACCAGATAGTTATTTTTCTAGGGCACTTGACAAGGAGGTAAGCATAGTCTATAAAGTCTCAGTTGGGTAGTTTCATGCCATTTCCACGTGGTGGTCATAGCTCCAGAGTGGTGGAATCAGTGTCTCTGCTCTCCCACTTCGTGTGGCGATTCACTAGGAGGAGGGTACTGCTGAGAGGTCCGCAGCCCACCTGGGTGTGACAGGAGGGGAGGAGCAGAAACAAGAATAAGGAAGAGGAGGGGGGAGGGAGGGAGGTTAGCCAAAGAGCTGCAAGCCAGATGAGACACACTGCAGTACAGGAGAGGAGCAAGGAGGGAAAAAGGAGGAAGAAAAAGATGAAGTACCTGCAGCACCAGTGCCACCCTTGGAGATTTTGCTCACTTTTGAGCAGGAAGTGGAGGATGAGGAGGGAGGGTGGTGGTTGTGGCTGACCTCTGGGTGTGCCCTCTTGCGCAATGCGGAACCAGGTGGAGCAAGTGTCGCACCTTCCATGCCGGCCGGTCCCGGAGTACCCCGCAGAAGGCCTCCCCCACCACCTGGGCCCTCTGGACCTCCTCGCCCGTTGCCACTGTGCGTGTGAGGATGACTGTGCTTGTGATGGCGATGGAGGTTGTGGTCCCCTCCACGGTGTTTCTCCTTACTCACCAGTGGGCTGGAATGTTTACTCTTGTTGTTGTTGGTGGCTGCCATGCCTTCATCTGATGAGCTGTGGCAATCTGATGATGAAACTTTTATCTTCATCTTAAGCTCGTCTTTGCTGGGTTGTCCACTTTTATCCAGCTGGGAGCTACCGCCAGACCCAGGCACAGCCAGGCGGAGTTTAAGCAGACCTTTGTCCCGTTTGTCACTGTGATGACGTTTGTCTTGCCCTGAAGTTGAGGAGGATGGGACTTTCATTTTCAATGGGGAGGCAGTTGTGCTGCCAGCGCCACCATGAGACGTTTGGTGGCACTGTGAATGTTTTCTATGTTCTACTTGGCTCACAGATGATGGTGCATAGGTAGAGGAGGAGGAAGACGACATTTCTCCCCTAACATCACAATCCATTGCTCCTCCATGCTGCTCCTGCCGGCGTTTCTGCCCTGAGACAGCCAGCTCTGCAGCAAGTTTCTCTCTGTATTTGTCTAGAGAAAGCTTTTGAGCAGGAGATGGCTGAGGTGGAGGGTATGAAGATTGAGGTGGTAGATGGTGCTTACCCACTCCACCCCCACCAGCTCCTTTTTGTTCCTGTTTGACAGGGTTAAAGTCTGCTGTTTTTTCAGTCTTGTTTATGGGTGGGTGCTGAAGCAAAGAAGATGAGGTGGTCTGCAAAGACAGTGTCTGCTCTTGGAGGAGGATGCTGATGGGTTCCTGTTTTATACAGGTAGATGGGAACCCTGCTTGGCTCTGTTTGCTCTGAGGCCACTCACTGTGGCTAGCAGGATTATAGGTGCCGGCCAACGTGTCCAGGGACAGGGGTGCACCTTCAGGCATGGAGAAACTTAGGTTGGAGGAGAGTCCAGCAAGTGTGGCATCACTTTGGTCTTGGAGCATGGAGGGCCCAACAAAAGTGCCGTCCATCAACTGGGCGCTCTCGCTCTTGGGCTTTTTGGCAGCTTGTGTTGCCTAGAGGGCAAAGAGAGATATTTTTGAAGCCATGCAGAGATTTTCAGTCAACACTAACTTTAACAGAGGCACTGATACAAAAAATGTAGCAGGATTTTCTTTGCAAATATAAAGACCTTTGCCAAATTGTTTTATTTTGGCAATTTTAAAAGGCAAGGTTAGTTGTACAAAAATATGTCCTACCCTCCAGTTGCGTATCCTCTTTAACCGGCTGGGCGTCTTCTCCAGAATCTGCAGGAACTCATGGGTCAACTCTACAAGCATATGAATGTTGACATCAGACATCTTCATATTCTGCTGCTAAAGTTCAACAATTCAATAGCCTCTCATTTCCCCATAACAATTTAGAGTTTTCCCTGGGTTCACATACATAGAAAACCTCACTATGCAAAATACAGGTGTATAGCAAGGTATAACACTCCTGCAAGTTTAGTGTCTATACTTTTTAAGAAATGGAAAGTACATAATGGGAAAGTAAAACACATATTTAATCTCACCATCTAAAAGCTCGAGAGTGACAGAACTGTCCACATACTCCCACCAGTGTTTCCCGTCGGTGGAAACTGGGATTTCCCAGTTGGACCACTTACAAGCCAGATGGATGCACACACAGGCGATCACTGTGGGCTTGTACTGGAGGCAGAAGGTTGTGAGGTGTAGACTGTATAGTGTGAGGGTATGTGCCAGCATAGTGTGTGTAAGAGAGAATGAATATTCCACATATGTGAGGGTTTAGGTGTGAGTTAGTTCAGGCCAGGCGTGGTCACAATAGGTTCGACATGTGGAGAAAAGAGAAAGAAAACACAAGAGGGAGCAGACAGCTTTAATTTTCTGGTGGCATTGGTTGCAAAAAGTCAGAATTTAATTGTGTTAATACATTATACTTGGTCATGTCAAACTCCCAACAATACAGGTGACATCTAATAGCTTAGTGTTCATGTAATGTAACAGGACATAACTGAATAGCACCATGACAATGATTTGGTTTAGGACCTTTGCTGATTTGGGACATTAAAACAAAAGTGATGGAAGTGAGTGGAGGGCCAAGTGTATTTGCTTAGTGTAGTCTACCCATTGTGAAACACTGAGCCCTAAGGCCACCCAGTGTTGAGACAAGACAATGTTAGTGTGATAAATCTAGCACATCCCCACACATCAACAGCTACAATTTTACAGCAGGGCTGTCTGTTTTAGAGGTATTCTGGAAAGGCACGCTTCAGGCTACAGTGTCCATAATTGGAGGCAATGGTAAGCAGACTCAAGTGTGGTCACATGTCACTAAAGTTGCCGGAGACAACACTGATGTAATGTGAAATGTACAGCTGGACGTATCAACACATCTAACATGATGAGACACCTGGTCAAACACACAATATATATATATCATAAATATGGTGAAAATACATTTTCTTGTACTACAGGGAGAACTGGGTGCCGGAAAAAGTAACCGTTACTGATATCAAATTCCAGATAGCGGAACTGGTAACGAATGGAATCAAATGTGAAATATTAATGTACCCAACCCAACTCAAAAGTACCAAAACATCTAACATTATTTGCATTCAGCATCCAGACACTGTCAACCAATTTGCCAATTTCTTTGAGAATAAACCTTAAAAAAGGAACCCAACTTTGGTACTTAAAGACATGTCAAGAAAATGTTTTTTCCTCAGTTTAGAATTGATAAATATGTATTTTTATCTGTATCAAGACATACTCTATGGCTTTGTTACAATCATTATATATTATGTACGTCTTTAATTGATCCCATTTTGGTTTTTCTTGTCACATCTTTGCATATGCTACATGTAGAAAAGTGTTTTAGAGCAATAAATTAGACAAGCACATACTGCAATAGTTGAAAATATCTGTGGAAATAAAACATTTTCAAATAAATGGATATGAAAAGGTAAATTAAAAAATGTATTTGTGGTACTTACCGGAAGGACCTCTACGAGAAATGTTTACATCGTGAAATCTTTAGCTGCTATTCAGGCTACCAAAGTGTCTTTCTTTTTTAGAATTATGCACTTTTTCGCAACCGAACAAACACGTGGGTTTCAAGCGCACCACTACACTTCACATCTTGCATTCAACCCAACTGTGCCAACATATGGTCCCTTGTACAATACACCGCACTGCAACTGGGGCCGGTAACGCTACAAGCCATCCTGTCCCACTTCCTTTGAACGAGGGAGGGGAGCTGAGGGACAGAGGCAAGCGTCCCAACAACCACCAGCGCAAGTAGGGCCCGTTGGACACCGAAAGGGTACCCTGCATTACAGGAAGCTATGGTGTGCAGTCAAAGTGCAACAAAGGAGGGGCAGGATAACAACCTGTTGGTAGCCATGAAATAGGAAGTCTGAGCCAGATCCTTGCTTGCTGTGAGAGACAGAAAAAGAGAAAGACAGGGAAAGGCAAAAGAAAAATTAGCATTTCTGCAAGGCAAAGCATTCCACTATCATTAGGACAGGAACTGAATGTTTCCTAAGTCGCTTTGGATGAAAGTGTCAGCTAAATGAAATGTAGGAGTAATGTAGTAATGTTTGCCTTTAGTTGCTTTTCATTGCAGTGTTTAGGCCAATACCAAGACAGAACAATGCGGTTGCTACATTGTGGAAACTTACAGAAGGATTGATGATTTTTCAAAATTAAGTTTGCAAGGAGGACTGAGAGATAAGTCAGTAGAATGATTTGATTGCTTTACCCGTTATTGATTGTTCAAATTAGGATATCATTTTACAAATATTACATTTGGCAAAATTCACAGATGAGTCGAATTGGAAAAGACCCCTAAACCAAATGTTTAAAAATTAATCTTCGAATTGGCCCAAACAAGTGTGAGTAAATGTTTCTGTTTAAGTTCTATGTCAAACAACAAATTAAAAAGGTCATCAAAAGTACAAGGCGTGTGGTCATGTAGCCATTAAGTCAGCAAGGACTTCACCCCCCTCCCCACCCATATCTGAGGTGGGACAAACAAGACCAGAGGGAACAAAGAGCAAAGAAGGAAGCCTCTACCTCGTACTAGCTGGGAACATTTCACCACATCAGTGTGTGGGTGATCAATAGTAATTTCAAAGCCTGGAACAAAATACATGACAGGTGAGTTCAACACAAGCACAGTTGGGAGGTGACATGTCATCTTAGGATCTAGCAATCTTTTAATAGGGCAACACTTCAGATTCAAGTACGTATCTATGTGTTAAATGTGAATAGTGGAACTTTATGGTTAAATTGAGTGCAATAAACTCAACTGTGAGCACTTTCATTCTGGATCACATTTGATCAAATGCAATCAATAAGTGAGCAAACATATTTTTGACGAAAAGGGAGATCAATAAAATTAAATCAAAACCAAAGCTCAAGACTAATGTCAGCAATAAGGGAATGACATGTCACCTTTACACGATTTATTGAAAATACATATTTGACAGGATACCCATACAGTAGCTGATAAAACATTTCACTTAACAGGCTGCGACAAACAAAATCAACAGTGATCAATAGCACTACTCCCTTACTGATAATGGTAAAACAATGATGATAGTGATTATGATAAACAAAAGTGCTCTCTCTCGCTCAAGTCATCCACTCCAGTCACCACTACTTACCCAGGGTCTGCAGCACTATGGATTCAAGAAGCACCAGCTCTTGAGCTTGCTGGAGGTATGCCTGAAGTTTGATAGACAGTCATTACAACACAATTGTAATGAGTCTATTAATCTATCCCTCTAACATCTGATTTCAAATGGCCAGGTCTCCATAAAGAGAGGCTTGTTTTACTGTTAGTCTTACGTCTTGTCAGTGTGGGTGTTTGTTACACACCGACTTCAGGCCAGATGAGTAAAAATAAGGCCCTTAGAACGGGGCGAGAGATTGTAACACAGCCAGTTTTAACTGTACACAGGGACACCATGACCACGGAGAGAACTGGAAAGACAGGTGTGGAAAAGGGAAAAAAAAAACAAAAACAACTTTCAACCATACAATATTGCAGAGCTTCCCGAACTTACGTTACTTTTTGTGTCTAGAGGTGGTTCTTGGGGGTTTAGGCAAGCATGTGAAACTTTAATCACATGTTCGAGTTTCCGGGGTTGCTCCTCAACTTTAGCAGCCAAGAATAAGGTGGTTGGAGATATTATCTGCATGAAAGCATCAAGACAATCAAATCTACAGCCCATCTACGCAAGGGGTGATATTTCTGTCAACATTTCAAACTAGGCTTAGGATCATGCAACATAATACTTACATTTCTATGGAATTTGGTGAAAGAGTGGTGCATATAAAATCTATGCATGTAAACAATGGCTGTATTTATTGTTAATTGAGAGCTGGAATACGAGTTAAGGAGAATTGTGGACAATAAGTAACTTCGTCGGTGAAATGATCAAGCTATATGCTACATTATAAAGCAAAGACACAAATCACTGAGTCACTATTTTAACTGCTGAGAGGGTCAGAGCAGAGAAAAAGTTTGCAGCTGAGCCAAAGACACGGTGCCGCTGGTGACTTGGCTTTGTGCTAACTACAACCGTGTTTCCTAAATATCAAAAGGGAGAAACCAAAGTCACAAGTGGGCTTAAATTGCTTACGGAAGCACGTGGTAATTTATTAACCTCAGCTATGTCGGACTGAGGAGGTTGCACTGGTTTTACTGGAGAGAACAAGTGGTTAGCAACAGCTGCAAAGGGCTAATGGCCTTTCAGACGTCGACCAGCTAGCTAACGTGCTGCGTTAGCTAGCTGGAGCTAAACGGTAAATTTAGACGCTGAGATTCAAAGTTAAGATATTCTTGTATAATGTGATTCTAACAAAACGTGAACACAAGACGCACGAATGTAAAAAGGGAGGAAGCTTCCCCCGGAGCTCGGTTTTATAATGGGCTAACAGTAAGGGGCCCGCTCCAGCAGCTAGCGCCATGGCTGCCTCCAGTCTGATGGAGGAGAAGTTTGTTTACAAAGGATACACGTTGAGTCTCTGACCCATGTCTTGGATCAGATTCGCGGCTTGCTGTCGGTAGGAGAGCTCCCGGTCCGGTTCGACCCCACTTCGGCGGGACGGCGTGTTCTCCAGCTGCTCCCGGGTGAAAAACCACTTCGACGAAGATCCCCGGCACGCCGCCATTGCTCTCCGACATTCACTTGGGCATTGGGCATCTACAGAGCGGACGTGACGTAGGCGTCGCACAGGAAACCGCTTCTTCTTCGACGGTTCGGCCGTGGTCCACATTTATCATGACTCTCATGAGCAGGTTTCTTTAAATGTTTATGTTTTCAAATAAAAGTTGATCTTATGTTGTCCTTCGTTATTTTGTGCATTTATATATAGTTATATAGGAACAACGTTACGTTTAGTTTAGGACATTTCCTTTGGTGTTGATGAATGAGGAATGTGTTCACCATTTACCATCAAAAGTAAAATATTGAATATGAATATAAATTGTATGAGTACAGTGTGTAGAATTTTGTGATATCTAAATTGTCATTAAAACGCAAAAGGTGTTTAGTTTGTCCAGTCTGGACTAATGTAAAAAACATGGCAGCCCCCGTAGAAAGGACCCCCTCGATGTAAATATAAAGTATTTCAATATAAAGGGCCTTTTCTGGGGTAAAGAAAACTACAATTCATACAATTTAGATGAAACCAACTTGTAAAAACATCATGAGGATTATTCTGTATTAAATTTCTGCCAATAGTTCCCTTTCACATAAATCTTACACACTGGACATTTAAGACGACATGCCTATGCCAAGGCTCAACAGTCCCCTTAAAATCTAGATACTTCGATTAATTCCAGGGAAATTGATGAAAACATTAAAAAAAATATCCCCATATCACAGGAAGTTAGATAATAATTCTGTTTGGACACAAACATTTTTAATAGGTTCTTCCCTGATCCATCCCTCAAACTTCATGTTTGAGGGATGTATTGTAGTTGTATTTTTGTAATGCTGTTAATAACAATTGAGTAATAACTGGTTTATATTATTATTGTGTATATTCATCAGGCAATTTCCCCCACAGACTGAAAACAAGTTCTCAACTAAATGCCTGATTATATAGCTTTTCTGGTTGGCAACCCCCCAAAAAAGTTTTTTGCTCTATGAGCTGAGTTTTTTTGTAATGTTAGAGAAGAGCGTTAAGAGGAATCAATGTATGACTTCTTTGAACAAGAGCATGTAGTCAAAGACAGCTTTATTGTCAATTCTACTCATGTGTCAATTGTAAGACGCACATAATCACATTTTTGACAGTGATTAGTCTCATCAAATTTTGAAAAAGAAATTATCTGTTGACAGCAATCCAGTTGTTCCAGGGGTAGTGTATGGTGTTGTGACTCTCAGCTTCGTGGTCACTCACATTTCATAATTAAACGTCTCTAAACCAGGGATATAATGCATGATATCTACCAAATCATGTCATTCATCTTAACAGTGTGAAACTGAATTGTAAAGTGATCACATGCATTCTTACACAGTAGTACTTCTCAGAAGTAACAGTGTTTTATGTTGAATTCAAACAAATTAGGCGATTCAGAAAAAACTTAATTTATTATATCAAACCACAACAAGATTGGTTGTTTTGAATCTTATGAAAATGCCTATCTGAATGAAGCCTTTGTACTGAATCACTGAGTGTAGCAGTTTTATTTCAGATATTTATGTTATTCAAATTGCTCTCGTTTCAGTCCCAAAAATTCCAGAGCATTTCCAGCCAGTAATTTATCCTGCAATACAAAATGATGCACATTAGATTGAATAGTGGGAACAGTACTTAAACATTTCAAAAAACTCATTCAAACATTAATTTACAATTTTGACTTTTGAGAGCTAGTAGGCATTTTTCAGCTGAAATCTTTGTGTTCCTTACAAGCTGTTTCTACTTCCAGCACTCGTGTTAGGATATAGAGTGTTAGCTATAGAGGAAATAATATAACCTTTAGTGTTTCATCAAACTCATCCATGGACTCAATCAGTGATCCAGGCTGCAGCTCTCCCAGTGGAAATGGATAATCTGTTCCCAGCATCACTTTTTCCTAAAAGAGAGTTATTTGTTTCACAGTCACCAGCTGAACAACTGTGAAAAAAAAGATTTCTTCCCCACATCACAAGAGCATTGTATGACTTCAATTATTACTGCTACACCATTTTCGTATGGTTTATGTGGTGTTCCAGAAACAACTCCTGATGTGCTCAAACTACTCGTAACAGAGCTCACTTTTCCAATAACATCAATCAGCAGCTTCAGGGCAATGGGATCGTGAACCAGGGAGTCAGTGTAGAAAGACCCGAGGTATGTCCGTGGATTGATTTTGTTGTCGACTGCACACAGGTCTGGTCGGACTGTGTGGCCATGTTCAATTCTGCCAATGGTAAATGGGAAAGAGCCACCTGTAATCGTAATGAACAACCGTCCATATTTACTGTCAAACAACAACACAGAGGCTCATTTCACCTCGTGAAGTGAGAATGTTGTGAAGCACTTATATTCTTTCTGTTGTAGCTTTAATGTTCTACATTAGGCCACATGTAATCTCTTCTGTACCTCCATGAGCAAAGCAGACTTTCAGTTTAGGAAACCTCTCGAAGACACCTCCAAATATCATCGAGCAAATAGCCATGGTTGTTTCTGAGGGCATTCCTTTGTGATGGAGAAGACAAAAAAATATCATTTCAATTTTCACATTATAATTAAATTTTTTATTACTGTTAAGACAGGATTACTGGTAAATCAAATGAAGGTTTATTGGTCACCACTGGCCATAATAATAATAATAATATTCAAAACCGTTTTAAAACCAGATTTACAAAGTATGTCACAAAATAAAATATAAGAGCAAAATATAAAGAGCAGAAATAAAATGCTAAACACAATATTTAAACATAAAAAAATAAAAAATACTATAAAATTCCAGCTTGTGCAAGTGAGCTTTTAACCGCTTTTAAAACAATAAAACATATAGTATAAATGAATGTTATTATTTTTGCAATTGGATTGTTTTTTTTATAGTTTTTCTCATTTCATACCTTCACAGAAACAGATAACAAGAAAGGTGTTTTTATTTTCTACTATATAGTCTATAGAAACTATAAATCTTCCACCACTGCTCCATCTCCCTCACCCACCAGCCAGGGCAGCCAATACTTAGCCATCCTCCCATCCGTTTGCATGTCCCATGGGTGAACAAATATGGAGCAGCCCAGCTCCTCGGCTGCCTGTGGGGAGGACACACTGCAAGATAAGTACTTTTCCATGAACGAGAACTTTGGTCACATGGACACATTTGCTACTACTGTCACAAGGGACATTATTTTATAACATAGGCATATACGATAATATGCAGCGTCTCACAGCATAGAAGGGAAAGAGTTCAGAGGAGTTGAGGTCCCAGTTGTTAATGTGTGAGCCAATCTGCACCCCAGGGAAGCCCAGCTCCTTCACACAGCGCTTCATCTCCAGCACGGCCAAGTCGGGAGCTTGCATGGGCAGCGTTCCCAGGCCCACAAATCTCTTGGGGTTGCTACGTACCGTCTGGGCCAAACTGTCATTTAAAATGACGCTGAGATCCAGTGTGTCATAAGGTTTGGCCTGTAACCCATAAAGGAAATTTAAAACAGGTAAATGTATCAATGGAAGCCGATAATGCATTTCAGTAACGTTTGTTTTATCTTTGTGTTGATGCCTCTGTGACGGAAGGAAAACAAAGGCAGTTAAGCAGCTTTGCAGGCAACAAGCCACCATGGAACTTTAAATTGACTTTAGACAAATGCAGCCTGCAGCAATTGAGGGCACAGAAAACAACACTCAGTGGGTAATTGTTTACCTGTTTTTGATCCACCATGCTCTGACTTGGCGTTCACTCACCCAGTAATTGAACATCACAGGAACAGTAGAAAGGGCTTGAACTGTCACACCTGAATATCAGGAAGAGAAACATAATTTCTAGTCATCACTCACAACAAGCTGCAGCACTTTTTTCCATCTTTGTGCATGTACCATGTTGATCCATGTCTCGTATGCGGGCATTTGCATCCCAGCAGTTTTCTTGAATCACTCGGAACAGCTTCCCATCTTTCATCATATCTGCTTCCCCCTGGAACACAACATTACCACCATCTCTTACAGCAATTAACATGCTCCCATGTCTCTGCTGTACAGTCCAGACACTTTGGCATATTTTCCCTCTTGTTCTTTGCCATTTTACCCTTAGAATTTAGATTTTTTTTAAGCTCATTAAAACGGCATTCGACTTTTGGACTTTTCTAACTTGTCAAAAATACAACCACATGGTGGCAGCAGACGGCTCATTCAGCTGATTTCTGCTTGAAGTGGGCCTCTGAGCTGACAGACTGTGTTGCCGCTGTGTTTGAAGTGAATCTCTCTGCTGATGCAGGGACGACGTGCTGAGTTCTGCAGCTGCTCACGCTGCCAGGTCCAGCCTGACAGGTCCACAGGGTGGGCTGCAGTCGGGGAAAAAAGCTGCTGTGTGCCCAGCATAGTGTACAGTACAGTTGCATAAGGGCTCCTTTACCTTTGCCCTTTCTGTGTCTGCGCATTTACTCACCATGCAGTGGTGGTGAAGCTGGACAAACCCATCATATCCATACCTCTGAAACACATGCAAGACTGCAGTTATTAAATATTGCATACAAAAGACATAAACTGTACCAAACATTACAATGCAAATCTGGTGTATTGAATCCATGATGTGAAATATATGTGTAAACATCAGGATGGCTCAGTTTCCCTTGTGCACTAGAAAGTCCCTATTTATTGTGTTAAATCTTTGTTCAAGAGGACTTTCCACACGACAGCCCAGAATCCCACTGCAGCTGCCGTCTCTCTGTCTTCACTGACTGCTTACAATGATATAAATGCAAATTTTAACAGTAGAGTGGATTAGAAGCTAATCATAATATTGTTTTAAAGATCATGAGACCTCAGACCTCCGCAGCTCAATAAAAGAATGATCATGATGTTCTCCACTTTGTATAAACATGATTTTGACCTGATGCCATGTCCTTTACAGAGACGGATGCTTTAGCTCTTTTTGGGTTCAGAGACTACAGCTGTAAAATATAGTTAATGCATGGCCATTGTGTCATGCTTTATATCTGAGATTGAGTATTACCTCTGCAACTAAAAAATAAGTGTATTTTCATCTCAGTTTGTTCAACTAACCCAAACATAAGTAATGTCTTCTGTAGGCTAACACACTGTATTTTATGTCTGTGAATGTGATCATCTATTAACCCTATATACAGTAATTAGGATGGCTGTCATTTGTGCTTCGAATGTTATTGCATTATACAGATAAGTGTTTCTGTTACTTAGTATAACCTCAGCATAGGGCGTAAATAAGTATGAATTATAGAAATGTTTGGCTGTGTAATGCAATTAAATTCAAAAGAATAATCTCCAAAACCTCCAAAATTACGGATAGATAGATAGATAGGACAGACATGCAATACACATGCAGTACAGACAGAAAGAAAGGTTTTCTTTCCTGTCTGCAGTCCAGCAGTAAATGTAGGAAATCATTAGCTAGAGCCAGGCCTCCACAGTGACAGAGCCATAAGAGCAGGATCAGATAGAGCAAGGCCGCTGCCATCTATTGATTAAAGTTTAACCATCCATAGAGAACACTGACTTATGTGAGGCGTTAAACTCCTTGCTGACACTCCAGCGGGATATGTCTATTTTACTGGTATTTAATAGCACTGAATTCAAGAAGTTGCTATGCCTGACACACAGCTGATACAATGGTGAGTTTTTAAAGCCACTGAGCCACACAAAATTAGTTCCAGCCCATAAACTGTGCTGTCAATGCCCAAGGTTAGAGCTGTTACGAAGAAAAAATCCCTGATCCGGCGTGAGCTAGAGCCTACCTGCTTCAAATCGGGCCACTCCTTTGGTAAAATGTGGTTGTGAATATCAACCTTCATCCTTGTGATTACTCTGAGGAAAACTTGAGAAGTCTGCTGCAGGAGGATTCTTCCACTAAATGTGCGTAAATCCAACCAACCCACTCCCCGCCTTCAGCCTCTAACCAGTGACCGACAGGTTAATGCCTGCTGGGACACCCTTGTCATTTATTACCTAATCTATAAAACAAGCAGAGAGTCTGGCAGGGATGTTTAAATGCCTATAGCTGATATTAACAAACGTGTGCTGTTACTTCGAGCCTTCATTATTTACTCACCACTGACACTTATAGAAAATCACACATGAATATGTATAACATTTCTTTGCCCCTTGCTGGGTTGTGCTGAGTCAGCTGAAAGTCACTGATTGTCACTGAATTGATGGCAACATTTGTATTATTTATTTTTTTTATGAAAGATTTGACAAAGAGTTTGTCTTGTTTTGTAAAAATAATATGTTGTTTGGTCTCCTAGAAGATTGGACACGGAAATACAATGTCATTGTTTGTATGATTAATATTATCATTAAGATGGCGAAATTCTGCACATAAATGTAAATTCACTGTATATTCACTAATATTTTAAATTTGTTCAGGTGAGCATGAACAGTTATAATGGCTAAAACATCCTATAATCCCGGAGTCCACCACAGACAATGTGTCCTGAAATGTAGAGAGAGATAAACCTAAAGCCAGGAAGGCAAAACTCTTTGCCAGGAAAATGTACAGTAAATAAACCCAGGAGTTTGGGAATGTACAAATGAATGACAAAACCTGCACAGCTAATTCTGACTGATGACGCTGGTTGATTCTGCCGCTGGTTAGTGTTTTATCATCAACTAGTGCAGGGCTCATTCTAAACCTGCATGTTAGAATGTTCTGTTCTGTAGTGCTGTTGCTCCGGAGCTACTTCAGAATTACTCCTTGTCATTAGTGAGTCCTCTTTAAATAGTTTTAACATACTTTCACTTTTTTATTCTTTGCGTGCTGAACGTTGTGTGCAGAGCTTTTTATAAACAATCTATGGTGCAGAGTTACAAAACTTAGTGTTTGTCCTTCCTGGTTTATCTGCAATGAAGATTTTAGCCAGTGTCTTTCGTAAAATATTATTATTGTTCATGTGTGTAGCTTTTATAATTTATATATATATAATTTTTTTTATATAATGAATGTGAATGACTTACTTAACTCTTTATTTTTTTCATATATTGCATTAGGCTATTTCAGAGGTCTGATGATCCAACGAACCAATCCTCAGACCCAAGTTCAAAACCTTTCAAAACAAAAGCACTTTCCTCGGCCAATATAAATACACATGCCATGTGTAAAGCCGATAAGATGAAGGGATCATGAGATATGCCACAGACAGACAGACAGTCATTTTGTATTCTTGAGTAATACAAAATCTAAATAAAAACAGAAAAAACCACGTGGTCTTCTCCCTGCCCACAGCCCTGCCTTGGCCGTGGCGCCCCCTGGTGGCTCGTGTCACAGACTAATGAACCCAGTGAGCATGGGGCAGCAGGCAGATGAATTCTCTGATTTGTCGATAATCGATCAGGATGTTCTCGGACTTGAGGGCGAATTCAGCATGAACAAAGATGTGCACCTACAGGCCCGACCCACTATTAGATAAAGAAACGGATAAAAAGTACTTATGTGACATTATTAGATAACGACATGACATAAACCAAAGCTTATCACTGTGAAACTTGATAGTTTCCATGCAGAGATCTGAGTGGATGAAGTGCAGAGATAAGAGAGAGGAGGAGAGAAGGGGAGGAGGAGGATGAGGAGGAAGAGGAGGAGGAGGAGAACAGAAAAAAAAAAAAAAACTTGCTGGCACCGCCTGTCTCGTTCTCAGCACACCTCAGCAGTTTATCGCAGCATCAAACCGTGAAGCGTCTCCAAGCGGCTCTCTGGTTAAATACACAGCCGCCTCCTCGCAGATCTCACTCATCACGGACGGAGTTGTTCTTGTTGTTTGTTGCTGATGCCGGAGAGAGCGACCCTCTGGCCCCCATCCTCCCTCATCGCCATCTCTCATCTTCCTCCCCTGCGCAACTGAGTCGACACCGGTGGCTTGTTGCCGGACGCGCTGGATGGCTGCTGCGCCCTGCGGACCGGTGTGAATCAATCCTGTCTCTTAGTTAGTTTGTTTTTTAATCTTCTCCAGTCATCTGCACTCTGAGCCTGTCAACAAAAACAACTGCAACAATGACAGACCCATCCACCCAAGAGTCCTACCCCGTCCCGGACTCGACTATAGTGGATGCCACGGTGCGGAACGGCCAGTGCGCCCCGGATGGCTTCAACAACCACCACCACCAGAACCACCATCAGCCGCAAGCCAAGAGCCCCGGTCAGCCCGAGCCCTACACCACCAGCCAGGAGATGAAAATCACAGACAGCGTGGAGGGGGAAGGTAACTTCATCCAGCTCTAGTCATCTCTGTTTGGGTGTGACTTTAAAAAACAAACTTATGGATGTGAACCTGTGATGGGTGGAGGGATGCAAGGATGGAGGGATGGAAGTGGTAGCCTATTTCTTACCCCTGTAAGATATTTTTAGGCTGCTCTTACTTTAATTATTTATGATAGTCTGACATCAGCAGGATCAAGAGCTGTTAAATAGTTTCCCTCATCTATTCGTTCATTCATTCTTATACTTCCCTTCAATTTTATCCCCTGTATTTTATCCACTCATTTTAACTGCCCATTAGAACCTGCACCCATGAGGCTCCCAGTCTGCTTGAAGGGTAAATTCTAATACTAATCACATGTGAACCCTCAAGTGCAAATCCACATTAACTTAAACACATGTGCATGTGTGATCCCCCCTCTAAAATAATCCCATTCATCATCTAGTATACAGAAAACCAAAACATTCCACAGTGGATATTAATCAGAGGCCCTCTATTATACAATGAACACTGAGCGGGTTGATACAGAGATTTCATTTGGTTTATTAAATACAGTACATGTATGTTTACTGGATCTGATTTCAGTGGATATGTGACATGGTAATGAAGCTGTTCACTGTGTTACTCAAGCTGACGCTAAATAAACTTTAATTAAAGCGTAGCCTATAAATGATACTTATGTGATTGAGCCTGTTATGAGAAGACAGAAATGGTTATTGTGTTAAGTTTTATGGCAGCTAATGGTACTAATTGGATTTGGCCAAGTCTAAGAGCTGGGTTCAAACTACACACCATGTGCCCACCCAAGAAATCATAAATACAAGGTTGGAATGAAGAGCTTCATCCTTTTGTTTGATTTCTTCTGTCTGCATGTTAAAAATGTTCTCATGCATTAAATGGCTGTGGTCATTTGAAACTCGATGAGTGAAGTCATGCATGTGGAGAGACAGATGGTAAAAGCAGCAGAGGCCAATAAAGACTTTAAATCCCTCGTAGGGGTCAAGTTCCAAAACCCACGGATCCAATGCAACTCAAAAGCGTCCTTAATCAAACCTGAACATCTTTCTTACTTCGCTATGTCAGTTAATAAGTCTGCCTACTGAAAAACGTTTGGTCACAATAATAAGCTTCATGACAATAATAAGCTTTATTTGTATTTCACTTTTCTTAACAAAGTTACAAAGTTCTTTACAAAAAGATAAAACAACAATAAAAAAATATTAAAATTGAATGAAAAAAAAGAAACATTTTATATGGTATGGTAAATTACTTAAAATTCACTCAGATTCATTCAGAGAAGTAGGTTTATTTTTTAATAAAAGAACATTTTAAGATGCATTTGAAAAGCAGTTTCAGATTTCTGATGTTAGCAGTTAAGTCATCCCAGAGTTCAGGGTCCCGATGGCCTTTAGTAATTATACAAATCAGAAGACCACGATCAGTTAGTCTAAGATTACCTCTTGCAAATGTGTACAGGAGCTGTGTACTCAGCCTTTGGAGCTACATGCTGATGTTAAACTATTTTTAGAGAACAAAGGTGTGACAAAGACAAGTGTCAGGAGACACACACACACACACACACACACACACACACACACACACACACACACACACACACACACACACACATATACACACTCACCCACACAACCTGTGAGTGTGTGTGTTACAGAGAGCTGTATGAGGAGATGTTTAGCACATGCCTTCTGTCTGAATCCCTATCCTTGGATCATGTGAGCAAAGTGATTTAACCATGCTGTGTCACTCCCTCCCTCTATCGTGCACACACACACATACACACATATACAGACACACACATAGCTGCTCAGCCAGTTTATCTAATATGTTTTAACTCTGAAAGTTTTTGAGGAACCTCTACTGGAGGATGTCTAATTTTATTTGTGTTATAATCCAGCTGATCCTGACCTGGATAGTATGGCCAACATTTCACTGCCATGGCCTCCTGTAACGTGCATTAATTTGGTTGTTATAGGTTTTTTTTCCCAACAGGAAATTAAACTTGCTCAAGCTTCACATAATAGTGATGCTTCATTTATCAGACTGGAAGCTTGTTTTTATTTTTCTACCCTAAGTCAGATGAAATGGCACCTATCTGTATGGGGTCAGGGTTGAAGTCGAGCATTGGGTTTTAATGTCTTTAGACAGATTCTACATAATTTTGGCGTCAAAAGTCTTCTGGTTTCAATTTCTATTTTGATCAATCACATTTCAGTAGGCTTTGGTTGGAGAGTAAAAGAAGCAGAAAACATTGACCAAAACAAATTGGCCATTTATCTGCATTCATATTCATATCTATACACAGGTATAGTCTGCTAATATCCACAGAAAATGACTAATAGCACCTTATTCAGTGTTATCAGATCATGACCATACAATAACATAATACGTTATTGTTGTTTGTTGTTGAATAATAAAAGATTGTGATATAACTTTTGAAAGACAAGAAGCGTTGTCTCCCATGAATGGGAGCGTGTCATTGTGGCTCGCATGTTGGTCCACGTGAATTTGTCCCTGGACATTACAAATATAATGCACAAATATGTTCAGACAAGTTTTCTCTGATGTCCTGTTTTCAAAGAAATCAATTACAGGTGGATTAAATGACTTCACATTATCCAGATTTTGAAAATCAAGAGGTTAATAGGTTTGTTTGCTGTAAATTTGACCACATTTCCCCAAATAGTTGCACACAGATTTACATTAGCTCTGCATTTTTCTATCAAAAAGTTTTAAAACTATATTTTAAATAAAAATAAATTGATCATAACAGACTCATAAGGGGACCCAGATAACTTTTTACCTTTGTCTGAAGTGCACTAGAGTCAGCTGAAGTAACGTATTGCTTGGAGTGCAAGAGCCCGCCTGTTCTTAAAAAACAGTTGAGGAAGCTGGTGAGGGATTGTATTCTAGGAGCATCATCATCTCCCTCTGGATGCTGTTTGCACTGTCTCACCTCTTTGAATCCACACCAGACATTTACCACATTAATCACATCCGAAACCAGACCCTTCAAATCCCCTTAATACACTATTTTTCAGGTAATCTGACCACAGGTTACCCTATATTGTATTGTAATTCCTGCAAATTAAAATGCGACATAAAATGTAATTTTAAGTCACAAAATATACAGTAGTGCCATAATTTAGCATAAACAGCATAACTATAATCTTAAAGCGTTGTAGAGTATTGTGTCAAGTGAATGTGGTCTTCAATTATCTCAATATTTACTCTATTTTAGATTTCTTCTTTCCTTGTAGGATAAACAACCAGTACATACAGTATTTTATCATCTCACAGTAGGAGATTTTACTACTCCTGTTTGTCCCGGAAACAACAACCTCACTCTCTCCCCTCATTTATCCCTGGAAAAGCAAAATGAAAAAGAAAAGTGTTAAGATTCTTCTGACCGTAAACTTCACCTGTAAAAAGAGAAAATGTGAATGCACATTACCTGAGGCTACATCTGCTGCAGGGCACCTTCGCTCTCCTTTCCTCCTCTTGTTCTCACCTCCTCTTCTTCTTCATCTGCTTTCCCCACATCTCATTTCTTTATTCTCTCCTACATTCTTTTCCTGACTTCCTCTGTCACTCCTCATTTCATTCTTCTCTTCCCTGCGGGGTGACGAGGGAATTTACCTGGCTGGGAGGGCCTAAAAGACTGCTGCGGGTTGCATTATGGGAAATGTACTTAACTAATTTGTGTCATTCTTTTGAAAATCTTCCATGAGTTTTTTGTGGGTGCTCCGAATTTATAAGTACCAAAACATGGTGGTTCTCTTTTAAAATTGTTCAATTTGGCACTTCTGAAACTAACTCCGTCATCAGTTGAGTCCTAAGAGAAGCAGTATACAGGCAATCATGTGACTTTATCAGCTCTTAATCAGGCAGTTGTTCATGGAAAAATTCTCTCTCCATGACGCACACGGTGCAGAGAGGAAATTCCCCCAAAGCAGTTTTATACACAAAAAAATATCTCCATCTTCAAAACAAATCACAAAAATATTCTTCTTATGTAAAACCTTGCTTCAAATACAAATATATTTTTGAATTTCACTACATTAAAGTACTCAAAAAATTCCCAAATATGATAACTGGATTACATCCCAAACATTTGGCAGTCGATTCAAAGCTTACAAGTTTTCCGCCTCATTAATTCCTATAATTTACTGCCTGTTTTTTTAACCGCAAAAGAAACACAGGTGACTCCAGAGATACATTTCTGTAAAAATGAAAACTGATAGCATTAAAAGCTCTTTTGAATATATAAGTTGAGGCTTATAAATAATACATGAATGTGCAGAGTCATCCTCATGTTTCATGCCAATGGTACACCTTCAGGCAGTTCAGAATCTGGGCTGCTTTGTCTGTGACTTCAGGCAAAGTCTTCTCACACAGAAACATGGATTTTTGAATCATTAGGAAATGTAAAAAACTCTTTGTTTTGTCTGTGAAGCTGGAATGTGCCGGAAACAGTTGTTTAGGTTGGTTGACAAAGGCGGAGTTCAAAGATATTACATGTAACTATATTTCATTCAAATGTCTACAAAATGACTAGACCCGTGTTATACATATTGTTGACTTGTGTCAACATTGCCTAAAGAAATCCCCAATTTTATTCAAGGTAACAGGACGGTTCATTTCGATCACCTTTCATGGTCATCATATCTGCTTTATGTATGGCTTTGCTCGTCTCTGTTGTGACTCTGCTGAACAGTCTGAACAACTTCTTTGGACTGTTTGAAGCTGACAACAGCACCCCTGCACAGAAGACAACACTCCCTCCAGATGACCAGGTGTTGTCCCTGTCTCCAGCCAGCGTGAGGAGGTCCCTCTCCAGGATCAATGCTCGCAAAGCTGCAGGACCTGACAACATTCCTGGTCGTGTGCTTAAGGACTGTGCAGAGGAGCTCACAGATGTCCTCACAGACATCTTCAACAGCTCCCTGAGCCAAGCTGTTGTCCCCATCTGCTTTAAGAGCACCACCATCGTCCCTGTTCCAAAGAAGGCCTCTCCATCGTGCTTCAGCGACTACCGACCTGTGGCACTCACCCAATCATTATAAAGTGCTTCGAGCGGTTAGTCATGCAGCACATCAAATCCATCCTCCCTCCCTCCCTGGACCCCTACCAGTTTGCAATCTCCACAGCCCTCCACTCAGCTCTCACTCACCTGGACACTAAGGAGTCTTACGTGAGTATGCTGTTCTTAGACTTTAGTTCAGCTTTCAACACTATCATCCCCCAGCAGCTGATACAGAAACTGGACTGTCTAGGACTGAACACCTCACTCTGCAACTGGTCGCTGGACTTCCTGACCAGAATACCACAGGCAGTCCGGGTCGGCAGCAACGCATCCAGCACCATCACAATGAACACAGGGGCCCTCCAAGGATGCGTGCTCAGCGCCTTACTCTTCACCCTGCTGACCCACGACTGCACACCAACACACAACAGCAACCTCTTCATCAAGTTTGCGGACGACACTACTGTGGTGGGACTCATCAACAACAACAATGAGTCAAACTACAGGGACGAGGTGAGCCAACTGGCCGCGTGGTGCAGAGGCAACAATCTCTCTCTTAATGATGAGAAGACGAAGGAGATTGTTGTCGACTTCCGGAGAGCCTCCACCCAGCACCCTCCACTGATCATCAACAGTGCTGCTGTGGAGAGAGTGAGCAGCGCCAAGTTCCTGGGTGATCACATCAGTGAGGACCTCTCCTGGAGCAGCAACACCGCATCACTGGCCGGAAAAGCTCAGCAGCGCCTCTACCTTCTCTGCAGACTGAGAAGAGCCAGAGCACCGGTCCCCATCAGCACACCTTTACCGTGGAACCACCAAGAGCATCGTGACCAGCTGCTTCACTGTGTGGTACGGCGGCTGCACCGCATCCTGCCGGAAGACCCTGCAGCGCATAGTGAGAGCAGCTGAGAGGATCATCGGTGCCCCCCTCCCCTCCCTTCAGGACACCTACAACACACGCCTGGCCCGAAAAGCACTCAGCATTGCGGGCAACTCCTTCTTCCTTCCACTGTTTGCATTATTCACTCGAACTTTATTATTGTTGCTGTTTTGCTGTGTGTCAGTAAAGCGAGTTAAACCTGAGAAGCTGTCTCTGTACAATGCTTCACCCATGAACTACTACTTGTTCTACTGCAATCTGCAGCGACCCCAGGCACCAAACGTGTCTTGTGTACCTCAGTGTAAATCCCCTATATCTGACCTCTGTGCTCTCTTTGAAGATGATGAGAATTATATAAGAGGATTGATGTATGGCAAATTATTCCATTAATGTTCAAAACAGTAATAATTATTCATTGACAAATCTACTGAGCTTGTATTTGGATTCAGCACAACTGCCTGTGCCATGAAAATCTTTCTAAAATCAGTCACATGTCCTGAGCTGAGCCTGACCTCTGACCTCCCAGTAGGCTCAGAACAAACTGAGAGAATTTCCCTACAAAAGAACATTTCCCTACTAGAAATAAACTCTACAAAGTGAAAAGTTGACAGTAGTGCTGGACGATATGGCCAAATTTATATCAAGATTAAAATATTCATTATGACAAATGTCACATTATTTATTATATTTATTTACAAAATTGTTTTACATTTTCGCTCCTGAGTGAAGGTTGTTGTTTTCAATTGAGCAGAGAATGACAGACACTTGATAGACCTTTGTTATATAGGTATTGATGAAAGTTATATTCAGGTAGGTGTGTTGTGCTATCTGTGTGCTCAGTAAGACATCAGAATGTTACATCCCTGCTGATTAGAGCAGTAACTGAGACACACTCCTGCAGAGTAATTTAACCCAGGAATGAATGCAGATTGTGCCCTTTTAGAGCCAGATGTTCATGGTCTTTTTAGAATTCTAATTTAAAAGGGGCACATTTTCATGTAATTGATCCAGAAGCCAGAATGTAATTATTCAAACTGACAAGATCTTCAATTTAAAGACTATGTTCACATTGACACCATCAATCTGACTATTCACCTTAATATGAATAAAACATTATTTTGAATTTGGTGTGTATACAATTTGCTAATAGAATACACCATTCATATTCCTGTTACATGTTTCAGAACATATTATGATACCAAAATGCTGCATAACTCTTTTCTCTAAGTATACTCTGTTAGTCTGGGTTCCGACAAAAAATTGGAAATGGGTTTGGGTTTGGGTCGGGTTCACATGTGTTGCTTCAGCCATCTTCTTACCTTTTTTACACATTAGCCTATAATTGGGGAAAACAGTAGGCTTGGTTAGTTTTCTCACATGCTCGGGCAAGTCCGGACAAAAAATGTACTCCTGAGCCACAGCATATCCCTATTCTTATATTTAAATTGAGTATTTCTTATTCCAAATATGACCTTATTTGAAACTAATCAGATAATGCTGTTTACATGACTGCTCTGTGGGTCTCCAGAATTTCACAAGCTTTATACCTTAAACCCTGTTTCAATAAACCAACTATTGATTGCCCAAGACTGAAGGGCCTTGTACTTCTTTTAGCCTTGTAATTTAAATAACCACATATACCAGTTGTTGATATAATCACTTAATAAGGCATGAAATAAATCAAGTGCGACAAAACACAAAGGAGGAACTGTCTTTATAACAGAGTTTCCATGTGGTTTCTGCAGGTCTCCTCGAGAGCAGCATGCGCCTGAAGCCCCACGAGGCCCAGAGCTACAGGAAGAAGGCGCTCTGGGTGTCCTGGATCTCCATTGTGGTCACACTCATACTGGCGGTGGCAGCTTTCAGTAAGAGATTCAACACTCGTTCATAGACAGGCAGCTTGTACTGCAGTGTAGTAGAATAACTTTGTTGCTGAAATATTGTGCTGTTCAATGGCGAGTAGAGTGTCAGTTGATTTCTCACTTCCCTGTTGACTCAGAGGAGATGTTGTCATCATTTGTGGAAACATGAAGTAAGTTGTATCATAAACCAGTCTTACAATGTGGCGAAGATGAAGAAGGTCTGAGTTGTTCTATTAACCAACCAATCCAACAAACATATGTCTGTCTGTCTGTGGAGGTTTGAGTTTTCATTTTATCAAGTTCAAACATATTGTTTCGAGCCCAGTTTGATGCAATTTGGACACATGATACATTCAATATTCATAAATATTCATAATCATTTTGAAAGTTTGATTATTTTTACTTCACCCTATCGGACTGACAAAGACACAGACAAAAGAAGGATTAACCTGAGAAGGGTACTTATCGCCATCATGGCAACAACATTAACAGACTTCTCGTTTGTCAGTTTGTCTTTAAAGCACAAGCACAATGATCATTTTGTTGCTGCTATGCTTTATACATATAGGGGAATTACAGAGCTTTGTTTTTGAAAAGTTCTGATCTTGGGTCCAAAGATTGTGTCTGAAATAGTCATTGCAATTAGACTGAAATAGTCAACCAGTAATATAAAAAAAAACTGTAGTTCAGTAAATCAATCAAACTTGTATATATGCCACACACGTGAACAGTAAAAGTTTCAAGAACACTGACTATAAAACCTTCATTGCAGATAAACCAGGTAGGATGAACACAAAGTTTTCTAACTTCACTCTGCACCATAGACTGTTTATAAAAAGCTCTGCACACAACGTCCAGCACACAAACAATATAAAGTGACAGTTTATTGTTGAACTGTTTGAGGAGGACTCACTAATGACATGGAATAATTCTGAAGTAGCTACGGAGCATTAACACAAGGCAAGAGAACTGCCCATTCCAAACAGGCAAGAACCGGCACAACACTATATATGAAAAGCAGTTGCTATAGTTTATATTTGTAATGTTTATTATTACTATGTGTAGGTTTAGTGCCACAAAAGCCGCATTTAGAATTTAACAAGCAAACCCTAACTAATCATACATTTTGATCAAACTCAAAATAACTCTTCTAAGTAATAGCTTGTTAGAGTTGTTCATTTCTAATGATAAGATAATTAAATCATCTGAATGTAGTAAAAATGTATTTAAAGACCAAAGAGTGGAAAGGAGGTTTAGATCACAAACTTGTATGCAACTACCAAAAAAGGCACATGAAAAAACGCTGATGAAAAAAACATTAAGGGATTTGATTCGGTGGAACCAGTTCATCGAGGACACGCTGTGAGTTGATTATAACAGTGTGACCAAATGTTTTTGTTTTTCACTTTTCTAACTCAGTTATGGAATTGCGGAAAACTAAATGTCACTTTTGAACACGTAAACTGTCACTAATTTGAAATCAACATATAATAAACGAGTAATCATCTTATCAGGCAGTATGACGACAAACAGCATTTGCCTTTGACCCATACTGACTTGGTCAGCTGTCCAGAGAAAGCAACTGAACGAATCACGATTCATCTCCGAAGCTGAGGAGGTCAAAAGGGGGAACTGAGCAGCACTATTCTTTTCTGGTAGAGGCGGAATTTTTATAGTTTCAATGCAGAAAATTTGATTCATGCTCTTACATCTTGTGACACAAAGGAAAACTGTAGGCTCATCAGCAGATGCCTTTGTCGAGGCAAGTAAGAATGATTTAAGCAATCAACAACACTTAAATCCAAGTGAAACCACAGAGGACACAGTTTTTGGGGAAATCGTGGCAGAAAGCAATAGCAAATGCTGTGAAATTGTGAAGAAGTTTGATGTGTGAACTTTGTAGCCTCACAGCAGAGACTCCTCCTTCTGGTCAAATTCATGTCCTGTTATTTAATTGATTCCTTGAAGATAAATGTAATTGTTTCATAACCATGTCAACTAATCATGGTTAGGATAAATCAGCTACAGATTTGTAGATATCTAATTTTCATTCTTTATTCAGATTCACCCTCAGAGGAGCTTTCATAATGTCTGAGCAGAATGTGTTTGATAATTCAAATCTGATGTTAATGAAGGGTCTCTTGGTGCGTGCGTGGCAAACAGGTTTTCATTGATACACAACCTCGGCTCTGGAGCAAAAGGGATTTGTTCTTCTGTTGGACTCAGCCTAGTCATGCAGTCTTGAGGTTGTTCAGACGACGACATGCTGTGTCATTGTGAAGTTTCAGCAACAAGCATGATGGAGCTTTTCAACACACGTGTTGTTGTCTTATGATATGCAGGCGCTCCTCACAACCTCACTGTTTGGAGTGGAAAAGGGGATGTGGTTTCGTCACGCCTGGTTAAGTCTCAGTTTCCAGTCACAATGTTGTCTTTTTTGTGTCATGCTTATTAGGTGATGAAGCATAAACTTGTTTTGTAAAGCAAAGAGGCCGATTACCAAAGAGAGGGACTCTATAACATAACATTTGGTCAAAAGTCACAGTTTTCTAATCCAAAATAAAACCCTGCTTTATTTGAAGGAGTATGCTCCAAACATAATGAATGACAAATAGCCTGCCAACAATCATTAGAAAAAAGCCAAATGAATTCTGTCCAAATATGCCACCTTCAGTAATTATTCAGCCACACAGCGTTCAATATTAATATATTCAATCTTTGCTTTAGTTAAAGCTGCTCTAATAAGTATATAATAATAAAAGGTCAAATGCTTCATGGAACTCCTTTTTTAGCACTTTATTATCATGGCACGATTATTAGTATGAAACCTTGAAAAAAGTGAGAAACATTTGGGCATCAAGCCCTCGTTTTTGACTTCCTTCATTTGTCTTGATGTGTAAAGTTTGTTTAACTATATGGATTAGATTGAATTGCATTTTACTTTGGCATTGGGACCAGCAATTTTGCTATTTTCCTTTACAGTCTGGAGAAGCTAAAGACATATCTTGTTTTATATGATCTGACATAATGTGGTCTTGTCTTCCGCGATTTGATCTAATCTGGTCTTGTCCTCCCTAATGTGATCTAATCTGGTCTTGTCCTCCCTAATGTGATCTAATCTGGTCTTGTCCTCCCTGATGTGATCTTAACTGGTCTTGTCCGAGGTGGTATTTAAAATTGGTGAGACTCATCTTTAAACCCCTCACAAGTGAATCAACAACGTCCCTGTGATTTTCAGAAGTGATGAAATGGGCCTGAAGTCTGCCCGATTGTCTTCTAGTGTGGGGTCTGGATAAGGCTCTCACAAGTTCTTCATATGAAACTCCAGAGGAACTTGAACAAAACAGCTGGCATGAATGAAATCTCTCAGGAGATATATATGCATACACAAACACACATATTTTGCAAGTCAAACCAGTGCAAGAAAGCACAAAAGCATACTGCAGGGGGTAGTTGGGAATGTGGGTGTGTGTGAAGATTGTCAACACAGAGACTTAAATACAGGAACACGATGACCCACAAAAATACTACTGGGACTCAAAGAGGGAGGAAGTGGAAGGAGGGATGTGGGTGCAGGGATGTGCTGACGAGCTCCTCGCCACCAGACATAACTGCAGCCTCCCGAAGGACGGGTCAGGGGCACTGGGTTAGGAAATGAATAAATGAACGAAACGCTTCCCTGCCCTGTCGCCACCCAGCAAAGAAAGGGGGGAGGAAGACAAAAGGGCAGAGAGAGAGGGGACATCTTGGCAGAAGGGACCAGAGAGAGTGAGAGACGGCTGGAATATGGAGATGTGGAGTGTAGCTCAGGAAGCTGCGACGGCGCCAGGGGACGAGGCTGGATGGGCTCTGGCAGATTCAGTGATTGTGATGGCTCAACTTTAAAGAACACCAGCATGCTGTTTCCTTCCTGCCTGTGCCCTACTTTCTCTCACCCTCTCTCCTCCATCTTTTATCTTCAGCGTGTCGTCAGCTTGTTTCTTTAGCCTCTGCTTTCTTTACCTCCTTTTTATGTTCTTTTTTTCCATCATGTTTTTTTTCTCTACTCTAATTTATGCAAAGTAAGATGATGACTAGATTCTATCAAGCTGTCCACTTTATCGCACTCATAGCTTTTAGGAGTTTTCCTCCAGTACAGTTGAATAAATCAGAGGAAAAAAATCTCTTATATTTCGTATTCTATATATCTTTGGCCATGGCTCATTTTTTCTTCTACCTTATACCTTCTTGTGTTCCTTTTTCTCTCTTTAACGGAAAAAAAGTCAGAAACCAGAGGTTTAACATTTAAAAGAATGAGCATTCAAGGCCGATCTGATTCTTCCCCTGTTTTTCAATGAATTGACTCGTGAATGTCTTGGTCATGAAAGGCTGCTCTGTGTTAGCACTCAACTTTCCCTGAGAAACACAAGGTTTGTGCTCTTCTCAAGCCATTCACCCGTAAAAGAGGCACAAGCCTGCGAGGCTCTTTCCGACGGATCAGGCTCAGAGAGAGGGCAGAGACCACACTAGAAGAGAGGTCACTGTGCCTTTTAACTAGCAGCCAGTGTGTAAAGGAGTAATTAGACAAATATTGACAAATGTGATGGACAAACAGGAAACCACCAGATGACATATCTTTCAACTGAAGTGCTGAAGAAAGAGGGGATCTTGTTCCTTGTCTGAGTTGAAGGACGAAATGAACAGCTGTCTTTTGAAATTGGTGAATTGTTTCTGAAACACTTTTTGATCACATTTGTTGAAATCCTCTTTCACGTCCTGATTAATTAAGTCATCTGATAAGATGAAGCCATTGTCTGTGGCCCTCGCAGGACTCTAATAAACAGGACTGAATGAAATGATTGGCTGCCGTACCTGTCTGTCACTCACCAACCTGCCTGTCTGCGTGCACCCTGCCCATGCTCTTGCTTTCCATGCCTGGACTCTTCAGTTGGAGAGAGACATGCATGACTGAAGCAGAGATGATAGCCAGATGATAGCCAGATGCTAGCAAGCGATACTAATAA